AGACTTGAGTGATTGGGCAGAATGTTTGAATATTTGGTTGAGAAATTTATCAATATTTGCTGCAGTCTTCGTTCAAAGACCTAACGACTATATAAAGAAATTACTCCAAAATTTGGTTTTTTGAATCAAAATACCCGGAAAACTGAGTCAAAAATGCAGTTTTTCCACAATTCACTTAGCAATTTTCTTGCTCCAAATGTTCTGGGTTTCACCAATCTCAAGAGCTGCTGCTGATGGAGCTTCAAAACAGTTCAATAGCAACCAAAACTTTAACGACAAACCGTCTGAAACGTTTTGCTCTTTAAGCCTATCATCGGGGTCAATCAACACCCTGTATAATGCAATAAGCCGTTATCTCCGTAAAAACGTCAAGGATTTGGAAAGTAATGATGCGCGTCTATACGCCAACGACCCATTTACCTGAATAAAACCGTTAAGATATGAAAAAACTCTAGCCGGGTCAAATCTGGGTTAGACGACGGCCAAAGTTCAAACGATTTGGGAAGACACTGCGGTTTTGCCAGTGCGATTGAAATAATTCCCGACAGCGACCCGCACCCGCATGGCTTAGGGGTCCGATATGGAGCCTCAATGTCAAAGAGCCGATAGATGAACATTGAAAAAATCGACGACATTGTTCGAATACAAATCGACGCATTAAAGATTCGGTCACGTAGCGCTCAGGGTCGATATGAATGTTCAGAAAAATCGGTTTCATTGATTGTTGCTAATTGGGATGATGGTGCTGGGATGGTTCGGCAGCTACGTGCTAGATGCCCATTATTTATGCACCCAACAACAGTTAAAAGTCTCTAACTGCCGAACTTGCTCAAGACAAAGAATGTTCCGGCGATTTGCTCTAAGAAGAACTGAACTCTGAAGCGCAAAGAACATCCTTGGTCTGGCTTCCCTTATCAAAAATCCTATCGCGCGCCATTGTTAACACCGTCCTCGTTTATGAATGGAATAAATTAACTGGCATCGGTCAATCGGTAAATATTCCACCGAGCATCCGGATTATTGATCATTGATGGCGCCAGCATGACTGATGCATCCCAAACTGGCAAAAATTCCCCAAATCTTTATAGGTCAAAGCCAGATAAAGTGAACGATCTGATCGGTGGCGCAAATTAATTTGCCCTGCCCTGAAACCGGAGCCGCCTCAATTGACGCAAGCTCGCAACCAATAGCAGCACTGCTGGCGCTCACTGGTGGCAAAGGAAACGTGCCGATGCACCAACGGTGCGTTTTCCGTTCAAAAAACCTTTAAAGCTAAACCGACTGTGAATAATTCAGACTGGACTTTCACTAAACTCCAAGACTGCAACGGTTCTTATGCAACAATTGCACGCTAGTGACCGAGTTTTCGGGCCATCAGCTCGCGCTTGCTTGAAGCATGCGAAAAGAATGGGCCGAAGAATTCCCCAAAGAGTAAGACAGCCAACCAACCACTGATTACGTAAAGGCCCAAGTGAGAAAAAACTGGAATTAGATAACGAAATCATTTCGGTTGTTGCCAGCAGCTAATGAAATGTGGTGGATTTGATAAACCTTGTGCCTTTTAGTGCGCCAAAGTGTTGCATCAAACCCGCACAAGAAAGTTTCTATTCTTCGAGATCAACAGCCTTGACCGACTTTTAAGTGTAACTGCCGTTATATAACCACTCGAATAAAGTGGGTTGCTTATGGTGAAGTCAAAGAACTCGAAGGACCGTGAATTTTTCACTTCTGATCGATTGAGTTGGTTGAAGTGTCGATGGGAAATATTCTTTAAAACTTTTCCACACGCTCTTTTGAACACTAGGAATTTTTGAAAAAATTGACTTCATTATGCGCGCCTTAACACCGTGTAACTCTGAAGCAAAAGCAGTTATGAATGATCGAAACAACGCAAATACGGAAAACAGAAAATCGATAAACATCAATTTGAAGCAAATTTATTAAAACAGGAAATCGAGAAAGCAAAACTAGTGGAATTTATCGGGCTAACTCAGGGCCGACTACCATTCAGGAAAACATAGACCATCAAGGATATATTGTGAAAGGTTTAGAAAAACACAAACAACTGAACACTTCGATTGCTGAAAGAAATCAATTCCTGCCACTTTACATTGCAGGATTTTGCAGGCAGATCCTGTTTACCTGAATAGGACGATCTGGATGTTTCCAGCAGCTTAAACGTGAACGGAATGTGGACTTTCATCATATTCATCTGAGGAATTCTGGGCTGCATCTGATGGTGCAACGACGTGGGAAACACGAACTCTTCGCCGTGCACCCGAAGTACCACCATGTTTCTGCAAAATGAAAAACTCCCTTTAGTTCCACGGAAAAATAGGCTTGATCAAGTTACACGGCTTTAGGCTGGAAATAACATGCTCAGACCACAATAATCGATCAATTTGTGTCTTTTATGTGTCAAGGAGAGTATTTATGTGTGCGTATTTGCATAATATACCCATTACGATCATAAGTAATACCCAACTGGGTAAAGATAAATTATGGTAATTGGCAGCAAGGCTTTTCAATAAGCTACACAGAACTTTTTAGTAGTTATTTTATTAAAACTGTACTTTATTTAGGCCAATAATTACACGTAAACTACTAATTCTAATTTAGAACAAATTTAAAGTAAAATAAACCAGTCATAAGCGCGCCGCTTAAAAGCGCCTTCTCTTGGACGGAAAGCCCCTGTTTTCAAGATCCTCCCGAATCCAGCGCCCTTCAATGGCAGGTCTTTTCCAAACCTGGTTGAAACCATCGCTTCCAGCATGGGAAAGCGAGGAGTTGAACGACCCGTACTTCACAGGCATCTCTAAAAATTAAACTCTTTGGTACCAGGAATGTAGGAAAAATCTCAAAACACCTCTAGTTGATGATGTGGGCGCATCGTACTCCAAATGCTCCTGAGTGTCCAAGATTGAGTTGAGATTCTGAGCCTGCATGAGAAGACTGGCTTCCTCCTGGCGCAGCTCCATGTCCTTTTGCTGTCGCATCAATTTGGCCTGAAGACCCTCCTCAGTTTGGCGGATCTGCGCTTTAGCTCTAACTTTTTCCTCCTTTTCAGAAATCACTGTTACTAAACTTGTCCGCTAAGTAGCAACATGCGATTTACCTCTGCAAATCTCTCCTTAGCTTCCCACTCCTTCTTCTGGCGCTCTTTGTCCAATTCACGGGCACGCAACTGTTCGCGCAGCGTTTCAGTTTCCTGCTCAAAACGCGCATACTCCATCTGCGCCTCCAGTTTATCGCGTTCCATTTTGAACTCTAAACGAATCGCCTCCTCCTTCTGTCCGTACAAATCGAAGAGACTCTTCCAGCGGCTGGCGTACTCATCTTCAAACGATCCTAATTCGGCCAAACGCGGACCAATCGAACGGTCCTTGAAGAGGAAGAAAAAGTTCAGCTTCAGAAATTTTCGGATTCTTATTGAGGAAATTAGTGGGGTTTTTATGGAAGGCATTTGAATTTCTGAGCTTTTTTGTGAGCAAACTGTTGATTAGAATTAGTACGCCAATTGGCCGAGTTTAGAGCAAAACAGGCGTTTCTGCAAACTAAGTAATCGGGAGATAATTCGATTTAATATTATGGATTTGGAACAGAAAATGCGTTCTTGAATAATTTGTTTAATTTAATTTCCATTTATAGCAGTTGAGCAAGTCGCTTAGGCAACAGTTAGGACTTTTGACGGAGTAGAAAAGTGAACAGACCGGGAGATTTCCACAAGGCCAAATAAGCTTATTGAAATAAATAAAGTAATCAATTAGAAAAAATGTCCTTTTACTGCTAAAACAGTTTTGGGAACGCAGTACTAGGCAAATGCCTTTTAAGCCCATAAAACCCAATAATCTCTTCATATCCGTTTGCAATACCTGATAAAAATCATTATTCCTTCTGTTAAAATGCTTGTCCGATAATCCTACAGTTTGATCGACAAGATCATACGGCTCAACTATCACTGGCCTTAAGGCGTAGCTCAGAAAGTAGCACTTGTCTCGACACTTTTGGATCGCTTGAACGGCGCTATTCTTCCTGACAAAGTCTGCAATTCCCATTGAATAAATGTGGGTTAATTTATTCAACTATACCCACCTATGAAGCCCTCTCCAGTCGACTTGCCTCTTTCGTCTACCAAGACAGTCGCGTGTTCGACTTCCCCGAAAGGAGAAAACGCATGGAGCAGGAGCTCGCTAGTGACAAAAGGGCTCAAATTCCGCACCTTCACTATAGCGCAACTCGGTGATAGTTTCAGCTTGAGGTTTCTGGACTTCAACAGAACCCCATCCAGCTCCTTTCTGGCCTTCACAGCGTTAGCGTAATAGTCCAACTTGATAAAGCCAAAGCATTTATCCTTGTGGACGAAAATCTCGGATACCTCTCCGTAGGGCTTGAATAGAGCCTCCAGGTCCTCACTGGTGATTCCAGTCCCAATGTTTCCAATATAAAGCCGGTTTCGGCCGGAGAACTTTTTCTCCTTCAGGTCCAGACAGGGAAGCTCATTAGTGGGCGCAAAGGACAATTGCGAAATTGCATATTCGCACTTCTCGCCATAGGGCCTATTAAACGGCCTTCTCTGCTCGCGCTCAAGTAGATTATCCTCACAAGTTTGAGGTTGGGACATCTCCCGCAAGGTCTGCTCAGTGTGGTTGTTCTTACTCGAAAATCTGCCTCGACGGCCAAATTTTTTCTTCCTCAAGTCCTCATTAGTGCTTCCCACGTTACCAATGTGAGTATTTTCAGCCATTTTTTTGAGGTTTTACAGGAGCACTCAACAATTCACTCAAACGCACCCTTTTGACATTGTCGCTAACGGCTCCCGGCAATTGTTTACCGTTGTCCTTGGCGACGACATGTTGCTATATGGATATAGAAGGAGGAGGAGGCGGCGGCTAATGCAACTTTAAACGGTTTTTTATGAAACTTTAAATGTTTTCACGAAAGAACAGGAACACAGCAAAGAAAGGAAATTAAATAAATTCAAATTAAACAAAACTAATGCCAAAGAAAAACAGAGATGTTGTGTACTTCCATTGTATTGTCAAGCATATTCTCCGAAACAAAACATTGTGATTATGGATAAGTCTATATTGTTGAGGCGATTCATTTGTTTACTTTAGGAGCACTATTTATCAATGTGTAATAGAAGACGTGAGGAAATTCTGTCTTTTTTAAAGACAAAAATTTTTGAGGCGAAATACCCAACAAGAAGTTTGTAAAAAAATTGTGATTATGGTCGAAAACTGCTTTTTTTCAAAAAAAAATCAAATAAAAAGTTCTACGAATAATATACAATGTGAGTACACTTTTATAAGCGACAGTCAGAAGCTTTTTTTTCAACAAATACCGTGTAGACTTGGATCTGATCAATGTTTTCGCAACATTTTAACAATTGACCAAAAAAAATCCGTTAGCAAGGCTGTTTTTTGTTCGATCCGGTAACCGAACGGTTCGAAGCCACCAACATAATTAGCATGTTTTATGGAATATTAATAGCGTGAGCTCATTGGGATGCAGGAGTCTAATTCATCTCAACCAGCCACTAAAGTATATGCGCATAGTTTAGTGCCAAATTAATGCAACATTTCGTGGTTCAGTGTCCGGGTTACCTGACGAAACTACCATAAATATAGAAGGTTTTCAGATAAAAGTGTAAAACATTGTTCTGTTATCGGCTGTGACACATAAAAGACTCATTAGTGAGCAACAGTAAATAAACTATTTAGGTATTAGCAGCCAGTGGATTCAAAGTGTTGCCTTTGTAAAGAAAAGGTTTTTGCACCCAGAAATACTTGAAGTCGCTTCGTCTGAGGACAAAAAATGCTGATGTGATTAAAAGCAATTATCGAGAGAATATTACCAATGCGGGGACTTTGAAGATAATTGGGGAATTTAAACACAAAACAGACAAATAGTAGCAAAAAATGCTGGCACAACAAAGTAGATTAAAAAACTACAGGAACTTGGAAACGAATTAAAATATTCAGAATAAGGATTGCAATAACTGAGAACGCCTTAGTTGTTTTCAATGCACTTTTGATATCTTGTTCGAACGGATTTTAAGTCATTCATTATGTGTAAGGGTCTTATTTCTGCCAATGACTCATGAATCTTTGAGCAAGTGCTCTCCGGCTAAAATGACTTTTTTATAAATTTGATTCTCCAACATTCTCCGAAGAAAAAATCTTGAGGTGTTAGATCCGGTGATCGTTGTGGCCACCTTATAAATCCATCTGTCCCTATCCAACTGTTTCAAAAGTGACTATTTATGGCTAAAGGGAAATTTTTTTTGCCCCTATATCTCTTGAGCGAGCAAAACTTTTCAAATTTTCAGTTTATTATTCACACATTCACACATATTATTCTTGATAAGCAATGTGCTCAGTAAAATTGCTGCGAAAACTGCAGTCCAAAACCAAAAACACTGATTAAGCAAATATTGATTTTGTGATAACCCAAAGAATCTGGTCTCAATCGACCACCATAGCTTAAACCTTGTCTTAATAGGTGTTTAAAGCAGTTACTCTCTGTCATCCTTTTGCTCACTTAGCCTCAAAAACCCCCTATCCATATGGAGAAACAATTGGTGAGTAATGAATGGTAGAATAAAGCCAATATTATCGCCCCCACAGGAAGCAACTGTCTAAGTGGTACCTACAAGGACTGGAGAATCATGGAGCGAACGTAACTGGCAGAACCCCAAAAACTGTACCCCTCGATAAATATAGAGCTGCAACCCCACATCAGCCCTAAGCCAAGACAATGTACTGAGAGGTACGGAAGGGACTGTTTGCAATAAACTCAGTTGCAACAGCCAGCAGCACTGAAGAGATTTCTTTGTGCTGATGATCCCAAGGCCGGCAATTAATGGAGAAGAGAGTTTCTTCTGGTAGATGAACGTGTGAGGACTCACCTGGCTGCAAACAGGCATAACAGCACCGCACAAACGGAGAACAAACAGATCCACCAGGCGTTCGAGTATTCCACCGATTGCCACAGATCTGCTAAAGTCTTTTCGAACATCGTTTATTCAGTTGAAAACTCGGAACATCGCACAGTAAACAGCAGCGTTGGACACGTCTTTGCCGTGCAGCATGCAATTCGAACTATTTAACAACAAACGCGGATTGCGGATTCAGTTGTGAAAGGAACAACAATTCGATACCAAAGCAAGGACGAGTGACAGGAATCGATCAAGCGCACAGCTGACTGGCGCCCAGCTGATTGGCTTGGTCTGTAGGCAACACAATATACTCGTTGAAGTTGCCTAGCTGGAAATTCGCAAAATTTCTAAACCTGCTCGGTACTTAAGACTTACCTAAGCCAATTGAGGAAAGCCAGCAAGGCAAAACGCGTTAAACTGGACTATAGTTGAATATGTTGCGCTATCTATTCACTTGCCAACGTTGCGTAAACAATGGCAACTCTGGCCTATTGCCATAGCAACCAAACACTAACGACCCCCAACGTAAACATAACAATGCGAAAATTGGCAAGTGTTTCCACAGCTAGTGTTTTGTCAACAGTGTTTTTGTTACTTTCTGCAAACTTAATCCCACTTCTCATGGCTTCAGCCTCAGAGCAATTAATAGCAGTGGATTTCGAGGTGTATGGAAAAGTGCAAGGTAATGTCCATTTTTAAGCTAGAAATCACCTCAATGCAGGCCTATTTTCCTTGCAGGGGTGTTCTTCAGAAAGGTAACGGGCAGCTTTAGTTAGTGTCGCGGTCGATGATGCGTTGTTCTTTCAGTACACAGCAGCTGAGGCCGGCAAGTTGGGCTTAGGAGGATGGTGCAGGAATACGCAACATGACACTGTCCAGGGGGTAATTGAGGGAAAACGTAGCAAGGTGGCTGAACTGTAAGTTCTATTTATGTGGTGGAACATGGAAACAATTTACACACTAGTGTACCTACCAGGTCTCTACAGAGGCACTTACTCGTGGGTCGTTCATCGATTCATGTGCTCTTGTTTTTGCATTTTTTAAAGTGTATTTAAAACACTTGTCTCTGTTCATCTTCTTCCGCAATGACCCTGTTTTCAACAGTTTTGCGAGGGGCGGATCCAGCTTTAAAGTCAGGGGGGGTTATGTAGAAAAAATACAGTCTTGCCTGGCCTTTATTCGAAGTTTCTCAAGAACCATTCGAGCCACAGAATTCGTTTTGGCATTGTTGGATAGAGAATTGAAAAGTCCATTCAGTCGTAACAACGTTAATGAGGAAATTTGAATATCAGACTTTTAGGTGCAAGATTATGCCAAAATTTCATGTTTTCCGTCCGCTTTTTGCTCATATCTCGGAGGCAAAATGAGCAAGAACGCTTATTTATACATCATTCTAGACAGAAATAAATGGCCTTTTTAGAAAGTGAACCATCGATAAGGAAATTTGGCAGTTTTGCGTTGGCAGACAATATTTGTGCTCCGTTTTGTACCTTTTGTTTCGCCCGCTTTTCGTTAGTTTATCCCTTCTTTCTGGTTTGACCAATTCTCCTTTTGTATTTGTAACTAGTTTTTAAATCTATTTTAAAGCAAATTGCTCATTTGTTGTTATTTTCCCAGGGTTAACTGGCTGCAGAAAGTGGGCAGTCCTCAATCGAAAATCACCAAAGCGGTCTTCACCAACGAGCGCAGCATCACTCATTCAAATTTCGACAAATTTATCATTAAACGTTAAAACGCCTGTATTAGAATAACTTTTTAGTCTTGACTGAGTGTTTTATTGTCTTCGATCCCACTTAAACGAAATGTTCTTTCACTTTGCGTTTGATTGACTAATCTATTCGCTCATGTTATCGCGCCTTATATTTACCATTTATCCATTGACTACAAGATAACAGTATGTTTATGCTGTTATTGAAGCAGTTGTATGGAAAGGTCAATGCACAAACTGCTCCTTTACTGGTCCCATTTGTATTCAGGATTAATTATACAAAACACGCTAACAGTGATGTATGCTAACTTGTTGGTCAAGGGGCGCTATCTGGCTCGGTTTTACCACAGTGACTACACGTTTGGATACAGGAAGTTACCAAAATCCCAATTCAAGCGTGAGTACTTAGCCCAAGCAGCTTGCGGACTTTTTAACAGCCTTTCTGATAGTTCCCAGCCATTGGCTGCGGAATAGATCAGAGCAAAGCAACCTGTACCGATTGATCTGCGCCTTTAGGTCATATGGGCATAAATACGCCAGTACCAACCCTGTAGCTCTAACTGAAGCGGTTGAGGAGTGAGTACTTGACCCAAAGCTTGAAATTTTGTTAAAATCGATATCTGTCTTGTAGTGAAGCAGTTGAGCTGGACATCAGCAGGTATGGTTTTCAAACAACTGCCGACAAGGTGAGACTGAGCGAAGGAATCGTGAATTTTCCTGCAGCTGAAGCCAGTTTGGATGAGCTGTTGGCGTTTTTGAGGAAAACCTACTGCAAGTATTGCAGCGCAGAGTTCGACTACTTGGAGGTAAGGCAGCAATGCGGCGCAAGCAAGGTTTTCTTAATTTCAACTCTTTCCGCCATTTTCCTAAAGATAACTGTTGCAAAGGAAGGAACAGTTTTCTTTGTGGTCTGGATCGAATAACCATCATTCGGATTTTTCCGCTTCCAGACTGAAGAAGAGCGCGAATGGTTTGCGGCAGAATTCGAGCGGCTTTCCAACCAAGAGCTGACTGACGGTACAAAGATCTGGATGCTGAAAGAGTTGATCAGGTCGCAAGCCTTCGACCGCTTTCTGGCCAAGCGGTTCTCCAGCGTGAAAAGATATGGAGGCGAAGGCGCTGAGAGCATGATGGTGTTTTTTCAGGAACTCTTCCACCTGGCAGCTGAAGGTTTAGTAGCTGGTTAATCTGTAGGTTCCTGGTTAAAGCATGCTCTTGCTCCTGCAGATGGTCTGGAGCAGGTTGTTCTGGCAATGCCGCATCGAGGCCGGCTGAATTTGCTAACTGGCCTGCTTAATTACCCACCGGTGGAAATCTTCAACAAACTGGGAGGAAAAGCAGATTTTCCCGATAAGTACCAATGTGATGGAGATGTTCTCAGTCACATTAGTGAGTAGCAATTATTTGGTCCAATCCTGCCAATTTTTCGTGTTTTAGTTGGCGATGTAGGGGAGAGTGGGTCCTTTTTGGATTGGAATCATACACATGAAAAGAAACGTCGTCACTCACATGCATTTTGGCCAAAATCCAGACAGGAAGAAACTTTTACCACCGAAGTAACACTGTATTAGTAATACCCAAACGGGGTAATAGATGTTTCCGCTTATTGTAAAAGAAAATATTGCGAAGTCTCATCGTCGTGGCCCACTCTCGCCTAAGCCTTAAAGTCTTAAGCCATTTTAAATGGAGACACAATGAAGAATATTTCAACGGGGACTTTAAAAGACATTGTTTCAGTCTCCAGCACCGATCTGGATTGTAACGGCAAACCCCTGCATGTATCAGTATTGAGAAACCCCTCCCATCTTGAGGCAGTAAATCCAGTTTCCATGGGCAAATCGCGAGCGAAGCAATTGAGGCATTTTGCCAGTCTTTCCCGCTGGGGCGACCGAGTTCTCAATGTGCAAGTAGGAGGATTTCTATGAAAAACCCACTATCACTCAACATATTTTAACTAGGTCCATGGCGACGCAGCTCTAAGCGGCCAGGGAATAAACCAGGAGTGTTTAGAGCTGAGCGCAGCTCCTCATTTCGAAGTCGGCGGCTCCGTGCACTTGGTGGTGAACAACCAGGTGGGTTTCACCACTCCTGCGGACCGCGGCAGATCCTCACGCTATTGCACGGATGTGGCGAAAATCGTGCAAGCGCCAGTTCTTCACGTGAATGGAGACCATCCGGAGGTGAGTAGGAGCCTGGATGCAGTCCACTTGGTCTAATAGGGAACTGTAGGAGGTTCTGAAGGCCACAAGGCTGGCTGTAGCCTATCAGAGGAAGTTCCGCAAGGATGTGTTTGTGGATATGTGCTGCTTCCGGCGATGGGGTCACAATGAAATGGACGAGCCGACGTTCACAAATCCTGCATTGTACTCGATAATCAACGCAAGAAGGTAAACAGCTTTTACAGGATTTCAAAACCTTTTTCTTGGGTAATCGCTTCAACATTTTCGTGTGCGTTTCAAAAAGATTGATAAAGAGTGCTCTTATTTCCAATAAAGCACGAATTCTTTATCAAAATAACCATCATTTGGAGAAAATGTTTAATTTATTAGTAAAATGATTTTCAGGCGTAATGCCCAAGAAGAAGGTTTTGAAAGCATGAATCCGCCTGAGCCATAAGAACTTATCTGTACAGGTTGATGAGTTTTTAGTTCAGTTCCTGATCTCTTCGCGGAAAAACTCAGCAGCCAAGGCATAGTGAGCGAGCAGGAATGCTCGGAGATTTACGACGAACACTTCGATTGGCTTAACGAAGAACTGCAGCGGGTTGACGAGCACAAACCCAAGGTAAGGAATAGCCTCATACTAAACTCAGTTTACAATTAATTGTTCCCTATTTCAGGACGATTACTTCAAAGGACACTGGCAAGGCTTTTCGCAAGCGAAGGCTGCAATATCAGTATGGAATACGGGCGTTGATGCGGATTTGCTCGCTTCCATCGGCGAAAAATCGGTCAATTATCCCGAGAGTTTCGTAAGATTGTCTCAATTGACGCGATTTGTATGTAACAGATCGGTTTCAGAACATCCATCCAACGATTTTAAGGGGGCACATCAAGAATCGCCTGTCCAGAATAGCGGAAGGCACCGATATTGACTGGTCCACTGCTGAGGCTTTGGCGATTGGCTCGCTCTTGCTTGAAGGTGAGGACAAGCAATAAGTGTGTGAACTTTTTCTTAATAAAAACCTCTGTTTTAGGGCAAAATGTTAGAATCAGCGGCCAGGACATAGGCAGAGGAACCTTTTCGCAAAGACACGCAATGTTGGTAGATCAAAAGAACAACACCATTCATGTGCCGCTAAACAATCTCCATCCGAACCAGCGCGCTTTTCTGGAACTGGCCAACAGCATCCTGTCCGAAGAAGCTGTGCTGGGCTTCGAGTATGGAATGAGCATCGAAACTCCGGAGACTTTGGTGATTTGGGAGGCGCAGTTTGGGGACTTTTTCAACGGCGCCCAAATCATATTTGACACGTTTATCACCTCTGGGGAAGGTATGGGCGCTCTTGATAGATCGTGGACTGGATCAGAACATTTCCTTTTAGCAAAATGGATCTATCAGAGCGGATTAACGGTGCTGTTGCCTCATGGTTACGATGGAGCTGGGCCTGAGCACAGTTGCGCCAGAGTGGAGCGTTTTTTGCAGCTCACCGACTCAAAAGAGGACCAAGTGGATGGGGATAACGTGAATCTCCAGGTTTGCCAGCCCAGCACTCCTGCACAGTATTTCCACCTGCTCAGGCGCCAGGTAAAGAACAGTCCATCGCCTAGTGCTGTTGGAAACGGGGACTATTTTCAGATGGTGAGAAACTACCGAAAGCCCCTAGTGATTATCACCCCGAAGACACTCTTGCGGGCGCCCCAGTGCGTTTCCGGAATTTCGCAGATGGTCCAAGGGACGCATTTTCGGCCAGTTTTAGGTCAGTGGGATTTCTAGAGAGACAACTACCACTCGCTAAAACTCCTTAGGAGATGATACAGTAGACCCATCCAAAGCAACGCGAGTCCTACTAACCTCGGGAAAGCACTACTATTCTTTGGCCAAACAAAGGGAGGCTATTGGGGAGACGACTACCGCAATCCTGCGGATGGAAAGTTTCTGCCCGTTTCCCACTGGCGAATTGCTGCAGGAGTTGGCGCCCTATAAAAGGGCAAAAAGTAGTGAAACTTTACAGGAATGTTCAGCGGGTTTTTAATTGAAATGCTACATTTCAGGCCTGGTTTGGTGCCAGGAGGAGCCGCAAAACATGGGCGCTTGGACGTTCTTCAAGCGGCGATTTGAGAATCTGATCGGCAGATCTGTAAGCGGATATTCGGGGCGTTGGAGAATCTCGAGCTAATTTTGTGAGTTTCCCAGGTGAGATATTGCGGGCGACCCACTCAGGCTGTTCCAGCGGTAGGAGTCGGCTCACTGCACCAGCGGCAGGAGGCTGAAATCCTCACCAGGCCGTTCTTAATGTAAAACTTGCGGATGATTAGACGCATTAAAAAGGCACTGTTTTTGGTTTAAGTTTTTAGCTAGCTGGGAACAGGATATTTTTCCAAATACAAGAGCAGAAGAATGTCTGTCGTCGCCAATAATTTCAAATGCACATTTATTATCCAATCACTATTGCCGCGGACGGACAATTTGACTAAATTGCATGCGAGCGATAATGTTAAACTACGCAAAGGTATTCGGTTTGAAACGCGACAGCCTTGAAAAGTATAAACATTAGATTCATGCTTTAAACAAAAGTATAGATGAATGATGAACACTGGGAAATGTTAACCACTCGTTCAACCAGCTGTCGATGGTTGAAGAAGCGGGGAATTTATTAATACTCAAGTTCCTTTCACTTACTTCGGAATCTCTCTGATGTTTAATAGGAAAATGGACTTTGAAGATGGCAAGCTACTGAAGATTTTGCGTTTTATGTAGCTCCATGGCAGGCTAGTTAAAAGTTGCCAGCTGCCACGACGAGCATCAGTCTAAGCCCAGCACGGAAAAGAACAATAGCAATTTAAGTGCGAGCGCAATAAAAGTGCATTTTTGGGATTTTCCACACCGCAGCTCATTCAAGCGACTGCCGCCACTATGGGATAGCAAAGGACTAGAAAGTGGGTAATTTTCGACGCGAAGGAGGACTCAAAGGCAGTCAGGTATTAAAAGTTTTCCCACATTTTCCCCGTGTAACCGTTTCCCAGTAGCAGCTTTTCTTGACCTTACAAAGGCCTTCTACCTGTTACCTGTCTGCCCACTTTATCACTATGGCACCATTCCCATCAATGTCGCTTCGAAGAGTTCTTCTGAGCGGTTTTGGTCCAGACACTTTCCAGCCATCATGCCGAGGTTTGTAAGTAATGCGTCCCTCTTTATTTAAGGCGATTGGCTTTGCCAGTCCCTTCCATCCTTTAAAATGCTGATTTTTTAATCAAATTAATTCTTCTCATTTTGGATTTTTTATACAGACACCCGCTGTTAAGTCTGTAGATGCATATTAATATCCAATTCGAATTAAGCGAAAATTGGGGGTACACAAAGTGAAAGCGTGTAAGTGATCTGGGTAACTGGCCAGTTCTTCGGCGACCGCAAACATCGCGAAACGCTATTAAGTAACAATAAAAAAACGATTACATGATGGTTGTTAAATAATTTAGTGGACAGTGTTGGTGTAATGGGACTAGGCGAGAGCAACAATAACACTGTAAGTATCAAAAGAGATAGACTTTCGAGGCCATTCCTTAAAACTAATGGGTTTATCGGGGTTTTAGGCCGTCGTTGGGTAGAATTTCTTCTTGACTTTTCGCAAGCACGAGTGGCTTGCATCTTCAGAAGTGGTTTGCTTGAACGCTTACACTGTTCTCATCAGAACCCGCGTTCAGTTCTTCCGCAGAAC